AAAAAAAAAAAAATGTAGCCAGACAGAAAAAGGATGAATATTGTTTGATCTCATGTATATGACACAAAAAAAAAAAAAAAAAAATGTAGCCAGACAGAAAAAGGATGAATATTGTTTGATCTCATGTATATGACACACATTGCATGGAGACCAAGTCCATGAGTATATCCCTAATCTACAGGGGATGAAAGGGCAGTTACTGCTTACTGGGTACAGAGTTTCTGTTTGGGGTGACGAAACATTTTGGAAACAAACAGCGGTGATGGCTATACAACAATGTATGATTACTGCCACTGGGCTGCCTACATGACACATTTTATGTTGTGTATATTTTACTATGGTAGAGGGTCAGGGAAAGAATGGAAGATCTTCTACAAGATAGACTGAGAAAGTGGCTGCAAAAGTAGGCTCCCACACAGGAGATTGGTGTAGGGCCCGGGAGTGCTTCATTCTGTTGTACACAGAATAGCTATGAGTAAGAACTGACTCGACAACATTTAATAACATCAATATTTTAGTACAAATGAAAAAAAAAAGAGGCTGAATAGAAAACATTTTAAGGCGAAGGAAACCAGGCAAACCAGGTTGGGCAGGTCTAACTCCTGATGCTATGAATATGGAGCAGCTGGTGTTGGTGCTGGGGCCCCAGTGGCGAAGAGGGCCGATTGATCCAGCCCCTGGTAGAATTTCTAGCACGTTCTCTCTGTAGTCACGCTACAGTTGACACCATATTATTAGTAGATTACGGAGTCATGTGATTCAAATATGGCGCCAGGTGATGTCATATTGAGAGGTGATGGCATCAGGCCCTGGCAGCCCTTATTGTCCTGTACATGGTGAGAAATCACATCTGACCCCTGAACTGGCCTGACGAAGCCTCTCTCCCCTGGCCAGTACAAGGGCGGGTGGTGGTGCTGCGAGTATTTGTCTTTCTAATTCTTCCTCCACTACACAAAGGCACTTAACAACAACAACAACACTTCTGTTGGACCAACCGTCACCACTCATGAAAGCAGCAGTTAAGAAATCAAACGACCTATTGCATTAGGCTAATCTGCTGTTCAAGACCTCTTTAAAGCGTTCAAGAGCAGAAATGTCAGTTAGAGGATTAGAGTGCGCCTGACCCAAGCCATGGCATTTTCACTAACCTCATATGCATGTGAAAGTTGGATGATGAATAAAGACCATAGAAGAATCGATGCATTTGAGTTATGGTGTTGGAGAAGAATATTAAAGGCACCAGGGACTCCCAGAAGAACAAACCAATCTATGTTAGAAGAAGTACAGCCAAAATGCTCCTTAGAAACCAAGATGGCCAGACTTCATCTCTCATATTTCGGACATATCATTAGGAGGGTCTAGTCCCTGGAGAAGGACACGATGCTTGGTAAAGTGAAGGGACAGCAACAAAGAGCGAGACCCCCAACGAGACAGACTGGCACAGTGGCAACAACAATGGGATTAAGTATAGTAGCAATTGTGAGGCTGGCACAGGACCAGGCGGTGTTTCTTAATGTTGTATCTGTTCTTTCGCTATGGGTCACCACACTTCTGTGGCTGATCAGATGCCCCTCTTAAAGGTCTCCTTAAAGAAAGCAATAGTAGTACCCAGCAAGCTTGGGCTTTCCGTGTTGAGAGGTGAGCTGCAGAAAGGCTTGGTGTATTCTTCCTAAGTGGGAATCAGCCAATCATCAGCTTGTCTTTGCTAGCTAAGCTACGAATGACTAAAACTTTGATCAAGACATAGACATTGTCCTACTGTGTGGAGAGCTCACATGCTATGAGTGTAATGGGGCAGGCTGGGCAGATTACAGATGTGTAATCTGCAGGAGCCCTGGTGGAACAGTGGTGAAGTGTTCAGCTGCTGACCAGGAGGTCAGCAGTTTGGACCCACCAGCAGCTCTGCGGGAAACCCTATGGGGGTAGTTCTACTCTGCTTTTGAGGGGCACTAGGAGGCAAAATCGACTTGACAGCAATGGTTTGGAGTTTGGTTTGTGTTGAGACTCCATTGGGCTGTGACCCCTTGAGAAGCTCAATTAGAGCTGAACCTGCAGAAGAGTTGTCACTGTGCCAGGGAAGGGACAAAGATCCCACAGGGTCAGTTCCCCAGGAGCAAGGATCAGAGATACCATGCCATTCTGTTGTCTTTGTCTTTTGAAATGAGATTCCCCCACCTCTTAAGATTGAAGAACATATAAAATGTGACCCAGGAAGCCTTTGTGGACCACCTCTTACTTTTCACTGTGTCCATGATGTGGCGCTGCTGGAAGCTGGTCAGTTTGGACTCTTTCATCATCACTGCAAGACGAGAGCATCTGTGTGAGGCCCAGTGGGCTCCAGGCAGATGGTTTTATCCCACCTTCTGTAAGTTTACAGTGGATCCCCTCCAGTCTGGTCCCGAACATCCCTACTCTCCCTACCTTGCTTTGTTTCTGTAGCATTCATCCCCACTTCTGTTTCAGATATTTACCTTGGGGATTTTGTTACCATCCTACCAGAATTCCAATTAGCTCCAGGAGAGCAAGACCTTTTGCTGTCTGTCCCCCATTTTGTATCCCCAGCACCTAGAATAGGGTCTAAAACTGTTGTTGTTGTTGCTACGTGCTATAGAGTCAATTCCGACTCATAGCCACGCTATATACAGTTTCTGAGGAACAGTTGTTGGGTTTGAACTGCTGATTTTGTGGTTTGTTACCCAGTGCTTATCCTACAGTGCCATACCAGGAGTCCAAAGCACATATAAGCCCCCCCCGCCCCCCAAAAAAAGAGAAGAAAAGAAACAAGTTGTCACTGAGTTGCTTCTGATTTATGGTGACCCCAGATGTTGTAGAATGGAATTATGTACCAGAGCATTGTTGAATCTGTGAGCTTTTGGAAAACCAAATTGCCAGACGGCTCTTCTGAGATGCCACCAGGTGGGTTTGAACTGCTAACCTTTTGGTTAGTAGTCAAGTGCTTAACCATTTGTGCCACTCAGGGAATCCTAAGGCACATGATTGTTGTTAAGTGCTTGTCAAGTGGGTTCTGAGCCATAAGAAACCCTGTGTAGGGGTTTCTGAGGAGCTGGTGAGCTTGGATCACCAACCTTTTGGTTCAAATCAACTTTGCAGCCCAATACACGAACCCACAGCGACACAGTCGGCTCTTAAAAATGGTGGAATGAATTAAGGAGCAAGCATTTATTAAGCACGTGTCCAGGGGTTGGAGCTGTGATGGTGAATCAAATCAGGCACAACCCCTGTCCTGACAGAGCTCACAATCTCGAGGAGTGATGGACATGAATCCAGTGGGCCCAATGAAGAAACCGCCATTTGGCAGTATGAAGGCAATAACAAGTGATTCTGCCGTGGTGGTGTTCCCTGGGGGAAGTTGTTGTTGTTAAGTGCCCTAGAGTGGGTTCCGACTGGAGTGGGTTCCGACTGATAGTGACCCTGTATAAGGTTTCCTGGAGCAGCTGGTGAGCTTGAGCTGCCGACCTTGCAGTCCAGCGCATTAATGTGCTGTGGAGTTGGTTCCCGCTCATAGGGACCCCCCTGTACAGGGTTTCCGAGGGATTTACGGTTGCAGAAAGCCTCATCTTTCTCCCGTGTAACAGCACTGCTGACCTTGACAGTTCGCAGACCGATTCGTAATCCAGAGCTCCATAGTGTAGTCTAAAGAACACCCAGGAGTTAACTTTAAATTCTTAAGTCCTTTGACTTTCAGCCACCATCAAGCTTTGTAACATGGGCTTCTCGTCTGTAAACCCAGAACCCCGATTCTAAGCCATAGGAACTCTGGTAGTGTAGTGGTTATGAGTCTGGCTGCTAATCTCAAAACCAGCAGTTCGAAACTACCAGCGGCTCCGCGGGAGAAAGATGAGGCTTTCTGCTCCCATAAAGATTTACAGCCTCGGAAAAAACTTGATGGCACTTAACAACTAATCCACAGGTCATGTAGGGGTGAACTGAGCTGCAGAGGGGAACCTTTACCACCACTCTTGACGTCACTTTCTTAAACACACTGACCTTGGAGCAGCTCGCAGGTTTCCGGGGTGTAAGTGGCCGACTGGGGGCAGCGCCAGAACCCCGTTTCTTTGGTCACTGCCCCCAGCCTGTTCTGAGAAGCCATTGAGGAGCCCTGCGGACGAAAAGACGCAATGAAACATCCCCTGCCTCCCAGCTCCAATCTGTGGTCCCTCCTCGCCCCCTAATCCCATCTGAAGTTTCGTAGAGAGTCGGGGATCCGGGTTGCAGCAGAATCGCGACGCCTGCCTCCAGTAAATATCGCGGTAGTGCCTCATCCCTCGACCCTGACACAGACAGTTCTCGTCTTGACCCGGCGCCTGAGGCAAGGCAGTCCCCTCGGGAGAAAGGGAGCGTTAAAATCGACCAGGTCACAGCTGAAACCTCACCCTAAAGTAAGACCTGTCTAGGTGCCCCCTCCTCTCGGAGGGCGGCGAATGGGCTCCCGGAGTCGGAAACACTTCATCCAGATGCTCCCCAGAAATATTTTGTTCTGTCGGCTGCAAGAACCTGCTAAACGCGGCTCTGGCTACTATGGTAACGAGCGCCACACACCATTCAGCGCATGCGCATGTTTGCCTCGCCTACTTGCCTCCCGGAAGTGATTTCCTCTGGGTCACGGCGCAAGCGCAAGGTCCGCTTGGTGCTGTGTTGAGGAAGGCACGCTGTTTTTGGGGTGTCCTCGCGGTTGTGGTGTGAAAACCACATCTCTCTGCCGCGCGGGCAGTATGTCAGACAACGAGGACAAGTAAGTGCAGGGATGGCCTTTGCAGGAGCTGGGTGGGAGGGAGCGGGAGGGGGCGGGAACCTGGGACGGAAGAGGCTGAGGAGCCAGGCGCCTGGGTGCAGTGTACCGGGATGCTGACGGGCAGGGACCAGGAGCCCGGACCAGGCTAGAGCCTGGACACAAAGACCCAGGCGCAAGGGACCTTATTGTGAATAAGATGTCTTTCAACAAACTGCCGTTGGCTCCCTCTATGCAACCTCTACTGGAATTTGAGTTGGTCATAGCCCCGTCTCTCCAGGCGATCACGTTTTAGAAGGTGGGACCGGCCCATAAACAGGAGGCCTGGGTTGATGCCGTAGGATAAGCACTCGATCGCAAGGTCGGCGGTTCAAGCTATGAGTCGGAACCCATTCGACGGCACTTAACAACAACAGTTGAAGTTTAAAACCCCAAACGCACTGCCATCGAGTCGATTCCGACGCAGAGCCACCGATCTAGATGGGGGTCTCTTTATGGGTCAGACAGCTTCCCCTTCCAACAGTGAAGTTGCTGGTGGGTATGAGCCGTGGACGTGGCGTTTACCAGCCTAGCGCTTAACTCCCGGCGCCACCAGCGCATATGTGTGTGTGAGTGAACCCAGAGTTGGGGGTGAATGTGGTGTAGTTTCCCAGAGGTGGGGAAGGCCCGTAAGGGCTCTAGGATGTGAGTCAGAAGTGGCCTGGTGGACAAGTCAGGGAGCATTATACAGGTCAGCAGTGTCCTAAAGTACAGGGGCCTGAGGTGGTCTGGGGTGGGGGTGGGGGGGATTTGGAAAACCAGTCTGTGTTCTGAAAGCAACACACGGCAGGAAGGGGCTAGGAGAGACAGTAAAGGCCAGATGTTTGAGGTGGATGGGGCACTGCGGTTTTGTTTTTTTTTTTTTTTTTAATGTTTTTTTGTGAATTATGTGATAGTTTACATGGAAGAACATTAGCTTTACATTCATCCTATCTTATATCTTTTGTTGCCATGGTTACAGTTGAGTTGTTTTAAGAAGCCGAGTGATACAGTTCCAGTTTCTTTTTAGAAGAGATACTTTGTGTTCATTGTGATGCCTCCAGTTGGATTGCAGGAGAAAGATCAATTAGGAAGTTGTTGCAAAATTATAAACCCAGAAAGGACAGAGCTGTGAATCGGAATTGAGATTGTAGAAAAGTATTAGCTTTACATTCTTCCTATCGTATGCCTCTTGTACAGTTTTGATGGTGACGACTTTGATGATGTGGAGGAGGAGGAAGGACTAGATGACCTGGAGAATGCTGAGGAGGTCAGTATTTAACCTGTAGCTCAAGCTACCCGAGTACACCTGCCCCTCTTTGTGGTCACGGCCCATGCCATGGCATCCCTAGTCAGAGGGAGCAGCATGCTATTTCTAGGTGGCGGAGAATTTCTATGGGGTGGGCTGAGCTACTGCCTTTGACTTATGAGCAGTTACTTTACTGGTGGGCAAAACATCACCTTCATTCATTCAACAAACATGTTCCTTACCTGTGCCAGGTACACCACTCCACCTTAGAGTCTTGGTGCACGCTGCCCCTTCTTCCGGGAACACTTCTCCTTAGATACCTTCATGGTCTGCTCTCTCCTCTCCTTCAGTGGCCATCCTATTTAAAACTGCGGCATTTGCCCCGTCCTCATCCACTGGTCCACCCTGGTGCTCTCTTCTCTGTGTTTATGTGTTTTACTTACCTTCTTTTTCATCTATCTCGTTATAATGACAGATCTCCAGAGGCAAGAATTTCTTTTTCTTAAATGTTTTATTGTGAATTATGTGATAGTTTACATAGGAGAACATTAATTTTACATTCATTCTATCTTATATCGTTTCATTGCCATGGTTACAATCCCCTCCATGTATCATCAACCAGCGAAAGGGTATACCCTGCAATCCTGCCCGCCCCGTACCCTCCAGGTCTTCAGCACACAGTCGCTCTCCCTCTCTGGATCTAAAGTCTCCAGCTGCTGCATCCCTCCACGTCATCATCTCTGCCTCCATTTCAGGCATTAACTACTTCTCTGGGTAGGGTCCCGCTCTCCGCTCTTCTCCCTTGATGGTCCTAGGGACTTCCACTCCTAGACTGAAAAGTTAATCACTTCCCTCCTTGCTATAAAATGTCTACCTTTACATTTCCACCCTTCACAATCAGTCCTGATAACAATTATTTACTGTTGTATCACAAGAGACCCATCTGCATTTCATTGCATCAGCCCCGCCGCCTAGACAGATTGGATATTATTCACTGGAGATTCTACCTTCTTCCAGGCCCTCTGTATCTAGGTTCCCTCTTGAAAGTTTGTAAACCAGTCACTTCTTGCCTTTGTAGCCCCCCAATCCCCTATTTTGGGTAGCCAATGTCCAAGTTGCCCATCCCTGTCTACTCTGTGTGAAGGGGGTGGGAATGATTCTTGCTGTAAGGATTTATTCCCTCTTTTGAGCGACTGCGTCCTCAGGTGTAGGTCAAGTTCATCAAATTGTATGAGAGTACTTTTTTCCTCTTTTTACTTCTGGTTGAGCTCTGATCATCCAGTCATTGAAGCCAGGTCAAGTGGGTATTATCTGCAAGTGTGGGTGTTCTTATGCATATGCCCTCTC